CAATTGCCAATTTCGTTAATGTCTAACAAAAAAAGGTTTTATGTAATTACTAGTACTTGAACTATAAGTAATTATCTCTATATTATGAGGGTGTTTGTCTAAGCTTATAAGTTGGTTAAACTAGTTTATAAACTCTAAAATTAAGCTGATATGTTTGTTTATAACTTTTTTGAGTTTATAAGAAGAAAAAAAAAAAGTTGGGGGGAGGTACTTTTTTTTTGGGGGGGGTTTATAAGCACTCTGCTTATAAGCTAGTTTGACGAAGTATATTACCACATTATCTTTGTTTAATTTTAAAATTTCATAGTATACACTTGTTTAATGTAGTACCATTTTTAGTCATTTTATAATAAAATGTACTTATAAGCCACATTTTACCAAACATGTCAACTACTTAGTACTTTAACCAAACACGTAATTACTTAAAATTTCAAATGCTTATAAGCTAAAATTAGCTTATAAGCACTTGTTACTTATAAGCTAATTTTGTTAAGCTCAGACAAACACCCTCTATGTATTTGATATGAAAACTATTTTTGGATAGTTAAAAGGTTTTCTTACTAGGGATTAAAAGCTCTTTTTGGATGGTTTAAAATGGTAAATAAAATAAATGTTATTTCATTATTTATGGAATCTGAATTAATATTTAATCTTTTTTTTTTTTTTTTTGGTAAATAAAAGTTTATAACATTCAATGGTTTACAATTTTTTTTTTATGTAATCTTTGCTTATATAAGCTTCCAAAATCTTTACAATAAGGTTATGGGAAAAAAAAATGAGAAAATATTGTAATACAGTACAAGGTAAGGAAAATTAAAAAGATGTAATAATAATAAAAATTACTGGAAAATGGTAAATTAGTGTACATTTTTAATAATTTTACAACTTTTTTATTATTATTATTTTTTTTTATTTTAAGATAAAAAATATACTTAATAACTTCTATTTTCATTAAAAAATAAAAAAATAAAACCCTTATATAATTCCTTGGCTTTGTGTTTGATTCTTTGTCTTTTCACAACACGCAAAAATAAACTTCATTTCCTTTAGCAAAGCGGGGTTTTAGTGGAAGAAACTAGAGGGTCATTGAAAGTTTCGACTTTTAGCCACACAAAGGCTGACTGTGAGCATTAAGGTCAGTTGCTCTGGCTCTTTTTTTTTTTTTTTTTTTTTTTTTTCATTGGGTTTTGTAATATGAACTGGTATGCCTATTTGTTGATTAACTTTATGTTCATTCTTGCTGTTTCTTCATATCTTGGTGTCTCTTCTTGCTCTTTGAGGTTACAAATAGTTTTATTAATTTAAAGTTGATGCCTTTTGAGTTTGCTTTTGGTTCTGCATCAACTATTATAGTTTAGTTTATCTGTCTCTCTTCAGTGCTTCATTTTTGTAGCAATGCAATGTTTTGTACATTTACGAGTTATTATTTGTTGTGCAAGTGCATGTAACATCTCCGGCTTTAAGTGTTACAATTTAGCTTTCTGGCTAAGGTGTTTGTGTTCTTGCTTTCTTAGGATATAATTTGTTTAGAGATTTTGCTCTTCCCAGCTTTGGATATTAACTTTTATTTTAGAAAATTGAGATATTACTATGTTGAATGCAATTTTTTTTTTTTTTTTTTTTGGGTGGGTATGGAGTGGAATATTTTTCATATAAGAGTAGATTTTTTGTTTCAATTCTGTTTATGAGGAGCAGGCCTTCTGTTTTGACTAGAGAGAGCATAGATTGGTACTTATTTTGGGAATTAAATGTTCAAATTTTGTCAAGGGTTAATGAAAAATAAGTTTGTTCTGGGTAGAGATGGAGTGTGAGTACTCTGGCCCTTTGCTTTTGGGGAAACCTGGATGTTTACACTTTTCTGCTTTGCAGAACAAAATTCATCTGTTCTTCTCTGTTTGTTTTATTTCTTGATGCCTCTTAGTTTCTCCTTTTTTTTTTTTTTTTTTTGTAAACTTTCCTTAGTTTAGATCCCAAGCTTGTTTCCTAGGAAGTCTCAGAAGTTGAGAATACTAAATTGTTTTTGTTAGACTTAAATATTAATGTCGAACTCTTACATACCAGTTATGTTTGGGTCAAGTGGTAACTTCACATGCTATATGTGTGATGCAGCTATATATGCATATATCTATCTTGGTTTAGTCACTTCACTTTGCCATCTCGTGTTTTATCTATCTGGTCCATCTGAGTTAAATGTTAAAACAACGATTTGATAATTTTGTTTCAACTGTAAGAAATAGGAAGGCTCCTTGTATTCAGCGGAGGAATCCTATTTTTGAACTAACATCTCGACCCCATAGTATTCTGCAGAGATGGGTTCATCGACTTCTAAAGATGGTACGAGAAGGTTTCCGGCTACGGTGGCCCGCTACCTTAGATGCTGAACTTCAACAAAGCCATGGATAAGGACCATTAACATCAATGCATTTAACTACCTCAGGAAGATCCCAATAAGACAGTGATCAAGCATGCATTCATCCTGAATTGAAGGTCGATCACATGACTAACAATATGTCGAATCTTGGAATGCTAGGCTCAATGAATCCAGGACCTTACCAATTATGAGCATGCTTGAGATGATAGGGACCATGACTATGCAAAGGATTGATGATAGAAGAGTTGAGGCTGAAAAATGGAACACTTCGATACCTCATAGTGTACAAAGGGTGATCGACAAAGGTAGTAGATGGTTGAAGAAGGACAAAGAAGAATGACAAAGATGAAGGAAAGAAATTGACAACACTAGTGGAATATATGGAAAATTGGGTCATAATAAAGGACGATGTGAAAACACCAACCTGCCAAAGTCAAAGAACAAAAGTAAATGACCCAGGTAAGTGTTTATAATAATCTTCATTTTTTCAATATAAACATATATATGATTAATAATATACACAAATCCAAGAAAATTAATTTAAATATTTCAAACAATTTTACGTTTATATTATTTTTTCTGATTTTATTTCATCATACAAAAAGATTTTTAAGAAATAAGAACGATTAATTTAGGATTATGGTTGAGACTAAACAAGGAGAGTGCAGTGGGACAAATTTTAGTACTGTCTCGTTCTCCCAAAAGAAGAGCCAAACATAAGGAGAGGACTAAAATTAAAAAAAGATTATGGTTGTGCTCAAGAAAGAGTCCAAAATATCATGGAATACATTATTTTTAATATTCTTAGTGTTAATAAATGTTCTTTTTCATTAATTTTTAATTTTTTAATCACAAATTTAAATTTATGTTAAAATTAATTTTTAAAATGATAACTAAATTTCAATAAATACTTATTAAAAATTTATTACAAAAACTAAAAATAAATTAATAAATTTTGTGATGGAATATTTGGAAATTCCACGACTCTGTATATGTAGCCCGATGGCATATGTAATAGAAAACCTCTTGGCGTTCGAGCAAAGCCAGTGTGATGATAATCTCTTGTGTGACTATGTTATCTTAATGAATTATCTTGTTGACACTCCCAAGGATGTGGAATTGCTTGTTTGACAAGAAATTATTGAAAATCTACTTGGGGATAGTCAAGCAGTGTCAACTCTTTTTTCATAAACTTGTGGAACAGGCTACTTTTGATTCTTTTATTTCTAGTTTTCTTCTCTTGTTGAAGATCTGAATGCGTATTGCAATAGACCCATGGACTGCCATTTCTGCAATTTTTGCTGTCATTCTTCTCCTACTTGTATTCACTTTAATACAGGCAGCATTTGTGTCCTACAGAAAGCATATATAGATTTCTATCATTTATTGATACCAAAATGTTGAAAGAGTTATTCATATGGCATAAGTTTTCTTTTATGATCTATAATACATGTTTTGGTTGAGAGGAGGTTTAAGAATACTATATACTTTCCTTCTTGCCAGGAATTTAATTAATTGCTTTAGTCTTTAAGAATATTTACCTTTAGCTTAGATATAGATCTATTTGCTTGTGTTCGGGTCAATTTAAGAATATTAATGCTTTATTCTTAAGCATCTTCTTCAAGAATTTCATTTTAAATTCTATGTAAGTTGAATCATTTGTTTGCTGGGACTTTAAGTAAATAGAGTTATTGTAGCTTCAACCATTAGACTCACTCAGCTTTTATATTTGGTCTATGAATGTAATGCAACAACAGAAATTCTGAAGGTTGGATGTGCAGCTTGAAATTGTAATTATGCAAATACTCCCTCTTCTATATATGTTTGTTTTATTAATTGAAACAGTTATCATATATTGTTAAGATTACATTATTTGTTCATTTTCCTCGGCTGAGATTTTCACTTTCTTGCCTTTCAAATTTTAATAAGATTGTGCGTAGGTACATACATAAATTTCATTCTGATTTCTGTTTTTATTTCTTGTAAGACATGAATTTTTTTGATCATTCCTTTTCATCTTAGCAGTGGAATGTGTTAAATCAGATAAGCAATAGACCATAAGAAATATTAAAAGACCTATACTGCTATGCTATGGATTTTCCATTCCCATTTAAATGAAATATAGTGCTTGTGGTTGAGTCCTTGACACCCATGACGGCTTAGCTGGATCGTTCATATGATATGTTCCCATAGATTTGGGGATTGAGCCTCCTCACAGTCACCTACATGACCAAAGACCATTGTTTCTCACTTCTCAAAGATTGTAGTGTTTGGCAGGGCTCCAGTTTCAAGCCAAGCTTGCGAGCGAAGCAAAATTAGATCATTATTTTAACATTTCATGATTTATCTAAATTACGAAGCAATAAGAGAACAGGCATAACTTGAGTGTACTTATTATGGCTAATCAATGTGTGTTTCTTTCATGCCACCATTTTCTTCTCCAAGTCAATTAATATTTACTACTGGCCAGTAACATTAGCATATCCAGCCAGTTGCAACTGCATTTTTCAAATGAAAACCAACTAATATAATAAAAGACTCCACCTCTTCGTGTCTCGTGATTTTTCGACCACCTTCTGGTGATCTCCTTTGCTCTCTCTCAGTATAATCTAATTAACTACTCTTTTAGGTTTCAATTCATTGTCTCTGCTGCAAAACACGTTGCCGTACATTATGGATTTTTCCCAGGAGAGGTTGAAGAAAGAAAAGGCAGAGGCACACCTTTATAGAATTATAAAGGTTGGTACTCTCAATCTTTGTTTTAGTTACTACTAAATTTATTGATTATAGTTAAAATCGAGACCTAGTTGAGCATATCTTCTTAGTAGTTATATGATATCTCTAGGTTGCACGAGATGAGGACCTTGTGGAACAAATTGGAAGGCATATATATTTTGATCTTGTGGATCATGACAAAGTCAGGAGTTTCTGTATTCAAAAGCAGATACATTTTTACCTCTTCAAGGTACCATCTTTTTGGAGTATCTAACGTGTTTCTACCAGCAATTGTGATGTTTTTATTTCGGTGAATTTACACTCCTCCATCTCTGCCTCTCTGACTCTCTATGTGTTGCATTAGTGTGGTTTTTCAATGTATTGAATCAGTGACTTGATGTGATTGATGGTGTGTGCAGCAAGAGGTTGCTAAAGAGTTTGGTATTCCAGTGCAACTTCAGCGGTTTTGGCTGTGGGCAAAGCGCCAGAACCATACATACCGCCCTAATCGGCCGTTGACACATTTAGAGGAAACACAAACTGTAAGTAGTTCTGCCTGCTATTACTACCCTATAGTTACTGTTTCAAGAGTTTTGTGGCAGGTTTGTTTAGTTTCGGGCAACGCCAAATTTGTTCAAGGGACTCATTGTGATGTAATAATTATAACAAACATTCGTCTTTTGGGCCATTGCTAATATGTTGCTTGCAATTGTCTATATTAGGCGAATATGTAATCCTGTATGATTTGTAATTTCCTTGTGAATTAATATCCATATGTTTCCTTGGAAGAACCAGTGAATTGTTCTGATCATTGTTCTTCATTTATTCAGGATTATGATTTTGATCATTTGTTTCAGTGTATGTGCTAATTCCCATCCACTGTATTTCTTTTCTGCTCTTGCTAATGGTACAACACTTTGTGGTAGTTGTCACAAATCTATAGTTTTTATGTTTTTAGGCTTTCTATATGAAAATATACATTTCAATTTTGCTATGCATTTGTTATGAGATAATTGATGTTGCTTATCTCCAGCATTATGTTTTATTTCTGCAATATTATATCAAATTGTCATCAGCTTTGGCAATGTCTTCTTCCATTTTGCTGTAGGGGGGTCATTATTCCAAATGGTTTTACTATATAAATTGGGCACTTCTTTTAGTGGTTTTAGTGCCTGAGGATGTGAAGATATGATTACCTAGTTTCCTTTCTTTTTTTTTTTTTTTTAATCTTGGTATTTTAGGTTGGGCAGCTGAGGTGGATATCAGATAAGGTTCATAATGGAGCGTTGAAGTTGTTCTTGGAAGTACAGCGTGGACTGGTAATCCTTTCCTTCCTATTTAGGCTTTCTGGTTTCTTCCTTGAACTATCATCATACTTTAAGTTATTAATGTTATCTCTATTATTTTTAAAGAAACATGGAAATTATATTGAAAAAAAGTAATGGATACATGTGGGCAAGTGTCCACTAGCAGAATAGAAGCATCCCTTAGTGAGGCTACTACTATAAAGTCAATATGCTGATTTCTATAGCTATCTGTACAGTTATGATAATACCAAAATTACCTGAAGCTAAACAGCCTTAAAAAATATTTAATTTAGAGTTGCTTACCTATCAAAATAAATGTTATTTACGTTTGTATTTTCTGTTCAGGATTTACGGCCTATTGCTTCACCTGACAAGACAAACGAAGATATATTACTTTTCTTCAAGCTTTATGACCCTGCGAAAGAAAAGCTACGGTACTTTGTTGTTTTCTATTGTATATTTGTGTCTGTGAGTGTATATATATATATATATATATTTTTTTTTTTTTTTTGTTTTCTCTTCTGGAATAACACCATTTGATTTAGAGATTATTTTTCTATGATAACAGCTATGTTGGAAGGCTTTTTGTGAAGAGTACTGTTAATCCAATGGAATATTTGGCAAAACTAAATAAAATGGCTGGCTATGATCCTGATGAAGAAATCGAACTCTATGAGGTTTGTTTCCTGTTGCTTATCTTTCATGAGAATGGTGGCGAACTCAAGCTGAGTAGTTTAAGAATTTCTTAGTCCATTACTTTATTAGTAAAGCTGCAAAAAGGATAGGTTTCTCTTCAATTGTTGTTACTAAGGAGTGGATTGCTATAGTATTTCACACTTATTTTCTATTTTACTTATTCAATAGTTAATGCAAAATTATTTAGTACTGTATTTGGAAAGAAAAAGGATCCGAGCACTCAAAATTCTCTCAAGAAAAAATGGTCTTAAATTAAAAAAAAAAAAAAAAAAAAGCAACTTCCGTGTTTCTTAAAATGATATATGTTAGTAGTAGTTAATCACACCGTTTTATGAAATTTAAAGTTTGGGTGTGCTAATAGTTTGTGGCCCCTTAGAGACTTACATTGTTTCTTATTTTTTGGAGATGATTTCGTTTAGTTATGCTTGGACTTGAAGCCAATGTCATCCTTGCCTGGGAGAATAAAATTATGATAATTAGGTGCTCTCTGCCATAAAGTGTGTAGGGTACTTGCTGGTATGCAACTTGTCTCAGGTCCACTTGTCTATCTCTCCATGCTTTGGTTATTTGGAGTGACTGGTGAATTAAGGGTTGACTTTTAATATTGTCTGAGAGCTAAGATCTCTAGTGACTGGATTTTGTGGTTTAAGTCCTTTCTTGAGGTTGTATTTGAACGTTGGTTTATTTGATAAGGAATTAGCATGTCATATTTAAATTTGCATGGTTGTATGCATTATTTTGAGGATGGTAGCTTACTCATGTTTTGATATTCAGGAACTTAGGTTTGAGCCCATTGTGATATGCACACCCATTGACAAGAAAAATACATTTCGAGCTAGCCAGGTAAGTGTTATGCATAACAAACATGGTGTGATTTGCTTTCCCTGTGATAATGTTTAACTCCGGCATTGTCCCTGTTGCAGCTTATAGATGGAGATATTGTTTGCTTTCAAAAATCTCATACAGTTGAAAGTGCTGAACAATATCGCTATCCAAATGTTCCTTCATTTTTGGACTATGTGCATAATCAACAGGTACACCTCCATGGTTCCTCTTGTATTCAGAAAACTAACTTTTCTTTGATATTCATTTTGTTTTATTATTGGTTTACATTCTCCCTATATTTGTGATTTATCTCTTTGCTTTTTTGTAGTGAACATCTTCCTTGTCATCCCTAGACATTGGGTTTATTTTTTTATAATTAACTGGTATTCATCAACTCATCATTTAACGTTGCTAAATTTTTCATGATTTTGTGTGGTAGGTGGTTGTTCACTTCCGATCTCTTGAAAAGCCGAAGGAAGATGATTTTTGTCTAGAGATGTAAGGGTTTAATATTAGATGAACTTGAACTCTGTTATTTTACTGCAGATTTATCTTTTTGATTGTGCATTATTTTATGTATATGTTTATTTCCTAGTAATTGTATCTGATGCTATTGTGTTTCGAATGTCAAGGTCAAAGCTTTTTACGTATGATGTTGTTGTAGAAAGAGTAGCTCAGATATTGAATTTGGATGATCCATCCAAAATTAGGCTTACATCACATAACTCCTACTCTCAGCAACCCAAACCTCAACCTATTAAGTACCGTGGCGTTGATCATTTGGCGGATATGCTGATTCAACACGACCAGGTAGTACTCATGGTCCTAGTTAATGTGGGATGTTGAAATTTAATGGAAATGTAATATTATGCTTTTTCTCATCATGTTCTTGGACAGACTTCTGATATATTGTACTATGAAGTATTGGACATTCCTCTGCCAGAATTAGAAAGTCTGAAATTTCTTAAAGTAGCATTTCATCATGATATGAAGGGTGAAGTGAGTATGCTGATCAATTTCTTAAGTTACTCTTAAAAGATGTTGAGCCTTTTTCCTGCTTTTCGGCAGAATCTGTTTGTGCTTCACTTTTTCACTAAATCTAAATTTCTGGAGCAGGTGGAGCTGTCTCATCCTGATGCAGAACTCCGGTTGCTAGAAGTTTTCTATCGTAAGATATACAAGGTCTGAAGTTTTCTATAATGAGATTTAAAACGTCTTATTCGTGCGAAAGATTTAAATTTCTACTTGATTCCTCTCAGAACCTTGAAGGAATTGAAAAAAACTCCTGCTGGAAAGAAGGGAGCTGAGGAGGCCACCAGTGAGGTCATCATTCTCTCACTAGGCTTGGGGAAAATTTTAATCGTCAAGTGGAACAGATAGGTTTGCAGAACATTTGGAGAATCCAGCTGCTGCTTTAGAGCTATCTAAAAGGCTCCGCTCTACAGGAATGAAGGTTTGAAAAATGATTTATCAGATGAGTTGATGGCATCTGTGCCTTCTGAAGTTTCCGTTGTTCGGGTTAATACTTAGTCCATTTTCTTCTGTTTATTCTCTTCTCTTTCAACTTTCCATTTCATATTCTCCTTTCCAGGACAAGGTAGTCTTATGCATTTTTGAAGATGTTAGAGAGCAGAATGTCCAATCTGAGCGCTGAGTTACCTTAAGTTCTAGTAAGTTAGCAGAAGCAGAGGCAAAGCTGAAGAGTTATGAATCATCTGAGGTGGATCATAACTCTAGAGTTGAATCCCTGGAGGCTGAGTGATCAAGAAGCAAGCAGAGAATGAGACTTTGAAGAACCAAGCTATTTTTCAGAGCAAAAAGCTTCCACCTCCCAACAGAAGGCTGTATTCCTAGAGGCTGAACTGATCAGGAAGCAAGCAGAGAATGAGGCTTTGAAGACCAAGCAGAGAATGAGGCTTTGAGAACCAAGCTATTGTTTCAGAGCAAAAGCTTCCACTCCCAACAGAAGGCTCTATTCCTAGAGGCTGAACTGATCAAGAAGCAAGCAAGAATGAGGCTTTGAAGAACCAAGCTTTTGCTTCAGACAGAAAGCTTCCAGCTCCGAACAGAAGCTATATTCCTGGAGGCTGAACTGATCCGTAATGAGCAAGAATGAGGTTTTGAAGAACCAAGCTATTGCTTTAGAGCAAAAAGCTTCTAGTCTGAACAAAAGGCTCTACTCCTGGCGCAGACGATTCTGAACGGGATAAGTACTCAAAGGATTTGTCTGATGCTGCTTCCAAGCTCATTGAAGATTCCAGTGGCTCTGGGGAGTCTAAGGATCAGGGTGCTGATCCACTTCCGTTCCCTTCTTCAAGCTAGCCAAGACCAAGCTCCGGATCACTTGGACCTGGACTCCTTTGAATGTGGTATTTGTTTCATATCTACAGAGTACGCAGAACATTAAGAATTTACATGTCGAGGTTTTGAAGTTCCAAAGCTGTTGCTTTAGAAAGAAAGCTTCCAGCGTTGAACATAATGTTCTTGTGTTATAGTTTGAGAAATGTATGTATGTATTATTATTTTTAAGCATAGTATCTGAAAATAACAATATATTTATTTTCATTATCTTATTATAAATGCGAAATATTTATCTATATTCTACTTCAACAGTATACTATCACTTTTGCACTTGCGTTTGGTTCCCTATTTGTATTTGTATTTGGAATTGGATTTAGCGAAAAAACGTTTGTTTTAGTGCTCAGAGAATCAAATTCTAAAAAATTGATTCCTAACGCACAAAACAATAACATTACGAACACTGAAAAAGTAGCACCGAATTTTTGTACCGGCCTATGTGTAATGCGCGTCTCTATTTTTTTACAATTTTTTTCTAGTGAACAGCCGTCCATCAAATTTGGACGACCGTTCATTCACATGGACGCCCATCCATATTATATGGACAGACGTCCGTATGCAAGGGACGGGCGTCCCCATTTAAAGGACATCCGTCCCTGATTAAAATACAATTAAAAAATTTGTAAAACATTTGGGACGGCCATCCATCAAATTTGGACGGCCGTTCCCATTTAAAGGACGCCCGTCCCTGATTAAAATATAATAAAAAAATTTATAAAACGTTAGGGGCCATTAATTTTGGATGGGCGTCCACAAATAATGGACGCCAGTCCTTCACCTAAATATGAAAAAAAAAAAAAATTCTTTGGGGACGCTCGTCCACCAATTGTGGACGGCCGTCCATAATTTTTGGACGCCCGTCCATGTATTTGGCTTTTACAAATCTAAATAAAAACGATGGACGGCCGTCCACAATTTGTGGACGGGCGTCCGTAAGTAATGGATGCACATCCAAGAGTAATTCGTAATAAAAAAAAAAAAAATTTTAACACTGGACGACCGTCCCTAACTTGTGGACGGCCGTCCCTTCATTGTGGACGGGCGTCCATACTTAATGGATGCCCGTCCATTCATTATGGACAGCCGTCCATAAGGGTTGGATGACCGTCCCTTATGTAAAGGACGGCCGTCCAACCATTATGGACGGGCGTCCATAATGTTATTAAAATTTAAAAAAAAAAAATTTACGCGTTTTAGGTTAAAAAATTTGGGGAAGTTTCAAAAATTAAAACACCTAGACAACCATTACCATCTTCTTCGTCTTCCATCTGCATTACTGCGTCTTCGCGCTGTTTTTCTTCTGCACTCCTGTTCTGCGCTTGTTCTTCGTCTTGGTAATTAAACACTTTCCTTTTTCAATTTTTTTTTTCAAATTTTTTTTTTTTGGTTGGATGAATGTGTTGAATGGAGTTGAGTTGATGAAATAAAATCCAGTCAATTTGGTGGGACTGGTTTGTGTGATTGATGAATAGAAGTGTTCTGCCATTGATAAAGATAAATGTAGTTTATTTTACATGTTGGTTTGTGTGAACTACCGTGAAAGGAAAATTGATTTTAGGCATATTTTAGGAAAATTGATTGTGGAATTCTGGAATTTATGTTTTGTTCTTCGTTGATCTATTCATGATGAGATTCCTTTTACTTTTTTCTCCTACACACCCACACACACACACATATGCCCCTTTAAGTCCAAAGTCCAGCCAGTATCCTTTTCCCCAATGCATGAAACTTAATGATCTTGCCCTGTGAAACTTTGGAAGAGTTTATTGAAAGCAATGAACTTACTGTGCAGCCCATTCACTCCCCTCCCTACGTTAGTGCATTATCATTTATCAAATAGAAAAGGCAATTAGGTTCTCTACTCAGCTAAAACGCTTGAGGGATACTCAGAATGATGAAAGCTTTTCACCTTGTTTGTTTACTTAATTATGATGTCTTTCAGTTGTAAAACTCTCCTGATTTATTTCTGCTTTTTTACAATCTTGTGTAAATTGAATCCAAATTCACGCATCTCTAGTCCACAACTAAGAGGAACTTTTCTTTCACAATATCTATCAAAAGTCAAGACAATTACTTTTTACTTTACTATTCTTGTGAGAAGTTGAAGTTTGCCTTGTTAGACCATAATGACACCTTCTGTATGAGCAGATTGTTCACTTTATAGGCTTGCACTCTGGTTTTACAAATAATATGGACAGACTTCTAACAAGTTATTGCATTAATTAATTAAGATTAAGATTTATATAAGAATGTTTGTTTTGTCTATAATCTTAAGCTAAGTCTGACGAAATATGAATAAAGAAAGACAACCATACAGCATTCATTTCATTTACCAGTAAGGAATAAAAGAACATGGGCACATACAAAGGGCCCTTCATCTGTGTACACGAGATGTGGACAGTTTTGCTTAGTGATAATTGTTAGCTTTAAACTTCTGCAGGTTTGTGTTAAATTGGTGCATTGCTGAATTACTACCAATATTGATATACATATTTGAAGAGTATTTGTTTGATTGTTCTATGTTGGTTATTGTGTTTTTATGAATTGTTATTTGGTTTGGTTGTGGAATTCTGGAATTCTGGAATTTTTGCTGAGCATTGAAAGAGAAATTACATTTTCTAATTAGCTGTGCCTTTTTGTTACAAATATGACAACAAATGTAGTCTAAATGCAAAACAAGTGCCTGAAGAATGAACCATTCTCTTTGTTTGAGAAATTAGTTGGGTATTCTGTTTTTTGCTTGATGATTCTCTTAGTTTTCTAGTTTAATTTGGACATTTGTTAACATTACCAGATTTACAGTGCCATGTAGAAATGATGATGAGCTCAAAATGTATATGTTAACAAGTTATGATGACGTTTTTTTATGTATACAGTTTTTAGAAGAAAGCAAAAAATGGTGGGGGCAAAAAATACACCCATTCTGCAGGAAGGCACATCCTCATCTGCACTTCAATTTCGAGACTGGCGACATAAAAACAATACGAGGACGTTCAAAGAGATATTTGCCTTGGAAGAAGTTTGGATTTAGGACTTCTAACAAGTTTAGGTTTAGGTATGAAATCAATGGTTGGATTAATCATTTGAAATGGGACCGTTTAGTCAGTATGAGATATGATGGATATAGGCATTTGATAATTGAATTTTTTGGTAGTTTGGAAGTTGTAGAGACAGATAGTGATGAGTTTCAGGCATATACAATGTTCTTTAAATTAAAGAATCAGAACTTGTAATGACACCCCAAGATTAGCAACCTGATAGGATTTGATTGTGAAGGTTTGGAAAACGTACCTAGAAACTAGGATTCCAAACAAGCTTGGATTGATGTTTCCGGAATAAGGACTTACCATCCACATAGGTGTAAATCTACAAAGTTACAGAATCCTGCTATGAGAGTATTTCACAGATACCTGACTTTTACATTTAATGGTAGGAAAGAAACAAATGGAAATGTGACGGTTAAGGATTTATTGTTCATGGAAGCAGCAGTAGCAGGAGGCAAGTTAATTCAGCAAGTTATTGATTAAAAGTTGGGAGAGATCACCGTAAAAAAAGGAGAAATATATTGGGGATGCTGGTTCGTTAATATGGAGAAGTTGATGTTAAGATCACCCATGATGATGCAACAAATAAGATTACATTTTCTACAACTAATGTGTTGGGGATGTGACATTATAGAATGGGTTTGATTAAAAGAATGTGGCAAGACAATGGTATCTGATTAGGGATGAAATGGAGGGAGATGCAATGGTTCAAGAAGGTGTCAGTATTCCAGAAGGGGTTACTGAAGGACAAGTCTATGTCGCAAAAGAAGAAAAACGGGTACTGAACCTAGACCATCTGAGAATGTAGAAGATATGGCTTCTCATACTTTACAGGAAATAGAAAGCAGATTTGAGCGGATGGAAAAGTTTCAAAGAGACGTTTTTCACGTAGTGAGAGCAAATGC